TCTCTTCAATCTCCCATGTTATCCACAGGCTCATGTCACAGATCACATCATGCATCTTCACACATTCTTCTCCCTCAACTGATTCACGGGCTCTTTCCAATAAACATGCATTGAGGAGAGAGTTGATAATGTGGTCTTCTTCCATTTGGGCTTCACTAATTTTATCAGATTCAAACATCACTTCACAAAATCAATACTCCACTAATCTCTTTGTGGGGATACCATGATCTTCAGGATACAGGCAACAATATAGGAGGCAACATTTCATTGTGGGATCTAGATAATCATAACTGAATTTTAAAAGCGGAAACACCTCATTTTCCATTTTGGGTAACGCGGATCGCTTCAACTTCTCGATTGCATATCTCCATTCCCTAGTTGTTGTCTTGCAAGCCATGGCACGACCGATTGTAATCAGATAAAGAGGCAGTCCACCACACTCTTTGGCTACTTGCTCGGCTAGTTTTGGATTATCTGGATGGCTATTGAGGGTTTCATCTTCAACCTTGTCTTGCATCAATTTCCAAGCCTCTTCTGGTTTAAGACACTCCACCTTAAATTTTTTTTGAGCTTCTATTTCGCCACAAACCTCAAACGATCGAGTGGTGAAAATAAGTTTGGAAACCCAACTTTGCTCAAATCAACCCTTTCCCATAAGTCATTCAATAATACAACGAATTTTTTGTTGCGCAAGACTATCCTCAGCTTTCTGCTCAAGGCTTCTATTTTTCCAGTATTCATCGGAAAAACCAATTTTCCCACCAATACTATCTTGAATCTTCTCAACATTGTAATCTTTAGGCGCTGCCCAAATTACAATATTGAAACCCTCCAAGTGTGGTGCTGAAGTTGTTGATTTGAGTCAAGAGTGTTGTCTTTTCGACGCCTCCTAAACTGTAGAGGCCAATGATCCCCACATCTTTGTCCACGATGCAGCTCCATACATTGTCCATTGTGGAATCATCTCCAAATGAAACATTTCCGCTTACTGACTCGTCTAGCTCCACGAACATGTCTTTCCTTCCACACATGTGATTGCTTGCACCACTGTCAAGATACCAGGAATTTGCTTGGCCACCATCACTTTCCTTTCGTGCTAGAAGAAGAGTTTCTTTACCCTCTATCTTTTCCTTCACGTAGTTGGCCTTCTCCTCAATTTTGTTGTTGGGAGCTCTACATTCTGAAGCATAAAACTTCTGACAATTATAACATCGAACTTGAGATTTGTCATGCCTTGAGTTCGGATTGATTCTTCCACGGCCTCGTGTTGAGCTTTCTCCTTTCTCATATGTTTTGTTGGAATTGTTGTTGTTGTAATTCCAGCCTCGTCCACGACCTCGACTTCCACCTCGTCCATAGCCTCTAACTCTGCCTTGGCCACGTTAGTTTCTATCATTGCGTTGGCTTTCATGCATATCCTTGAGTTGCAGCTTGAGGAGTTGCTCAGTAAACTCATGCTTCTTCTTATGCTTCTCTTCGTATGCTTGCAATGATCCTTGAAGTTGCTCGATCGTCATTTCTTCCAAGTCTTTAGTTTCTTCAATCGTCACGACGATGTGCTCAAATTTGGGATCCAACGAACGGAGTATCTTCTCTATTATCCTCACATCTTCTAACTTTTCACCATTTCTTTTTAATTGATTAGAAACAACTACTACTCTTGAGAAATAATCTAAAATAGACTCGGATGCTTTCATGTGTAAGGATTCGAATTCACCTCTTAATGTTTGGAGACGAACCTTCTTCACTTGCTCGAATCCTTTGTAAGAGGTTTGCAGCTTCTCCCACGCTTCCTTGCTAGAGATTGCACTTGAAATCTTTTCAAAACCATCATCATCTAATGCTTGATAGATGAGGTAGAGAGCCTTCTTGTCTCTCTTTCTTGAATCCTTCAAAGTTGTCTTTTGATCTTGTGTAAAGAGTAGCAAAAACAACATCATCTGCAATCTCATTATAACCTTTCTCTATGATATCCCACACATCTTGTGATCCAAGAAGTGCTTTCATTTTGATACTCCAATTGTCGTAGTTGTTGTTGTTGAGTGTCGGAACTTGGAATGGTGCCATACCATTTGCCATATTTTCTCAATATAATGACTTGATTTTCAGGCAGCAGTTTTTCGGCGGTGCGTCAGAACTCAGATTGAGAAAATTCTGACGGCGTCGGATTCCTCTCGTCGAGACCTTCGATCTTTCCAACTCGCTCTGATGCCACTCTGTTGGAAATGAAACACTCACACAAAGAAATTTTATTGAAACTCAAACAAATATTACAAGAACACTCTCACTCAAGAACAAGAACTACAACTCACTTTTATAAGACTTTGCTTCTTCACTCACTTAGAAGCTTTTAATTTTTCTTGATGCTTAAACTAAAATGAGGAGGGGTATTTATACTACTTAAGAACTATCCTACACCTTACAAATAAATTATTCCAAATAATCCTACACCACACAAATAAACTAATTCAAACCATTTGAAAATAAGACATACCTAACTTTAACCTAACTAAATTGATGTCATTGCTTACATCAATTAGGGGAAGATGTCATTGCTTACATCAATTTATTTTAGGTGTGGGTTTGGGTTTGGGTTCTCATAATGGATCAAGTTTATGATCCAACACATCTTCAATCAATTTTCAGCCTCTGTTATCATAGTTGCCGCTTGTGAAAGCCATAGCTGAACTTCATGGAGTCGCTTCAGTTGCCGTTATTCTTCCAGATCAACCCTCCATTGCACGTCATCCCTTCGTGCCTTCAGTCCATCAAGAGTAGCAGATAAAGTAGGGAGAGTTTGTTTAAGCTTGCACACACAATTAGCCTGCCCAACAGTGGAATCCCAGCCTCGGATGAGGATATTGTTGAAGCTAAATTGTACAGAGAGGCAATTGCCCATGGTTCTGGTAAACAAAACAAAGGAAACAAATGAGATAATTATTAAAAACGTATATTACAACACCTCGCATTACCTTATAGCTAGTTTGTTTTAGGACTACATGCCTGTATATATATTTATACAGCCAATTAGATGAAAATAGAGAATGGATGAAGGAAAAGTGAGTTTACCTCAGCAGGACTTGAAGGCGTGGAACAAGTCTGGGATACTTGAAGGATTCTTCTTCCTCACACAATTGATCACCTCTACGATCTGCTTTTTTTCCGGTAATAATGACTCTCACTGATCGGCGTTTATCGTTCCGCCTCTTTGTATTCTACTTCTCTGTTGGGATCCCCTACGGTCAACCCTTTCTTGGTGCTTGTTCTTTCGTGTTTTAAGGGTCAATGGGTGTATGAAGAGCTGCCAGATATGACATACGATTTCGAAACAATTATATGGACATGAATTGATTTACATGTCATGTTTGAGCATGCTATTTGATGATATGATCAAAATAGGAGTTAAATGCTAAATTGATCTTGATTAATAAAAGTAAGATTATTTGGTAAATTTTTATCTTGTAAACTAAAGGAAAAATATTAAATATAATTGATATGTTATAGAACTCTGTGTATTTTACGATTATCTTCGTGCTTTGCGTTATACAATCAACTTTGTGCTATATTGATATTCCACTCTTTGGAGTTAGAGGTGAGCAAAATTCGACTCGACTCGAAAAATCAATCTTTTAGACTCGAATCGATTTGAGAAAACTCAACTCGAATTAACTTCAAGTTGTAATTTTATAAACTCGACTCGAACTATGTGACTGCTGCTACCTTCTTCCCTGATTTATTTATTTTTTGGATAATTAATCTTTATTACCCAAAATAGCAGATCCCGGCTACAAAAATACAATCAGAGTATCAAAAGAATGGGGAACCTATGAACAAACAAAATTAAACTATACCCCAATTGTTACATAGAACTAGATTTGTGCTATCATTTCTGTTAATATTCCTATTACTTAGAACAGTTCCTACAATCATCTTAACGTTGTTGATGATTTCTTCATCGCTTCTGCTTTTCCCCGTAAAAATCCTTCGGTTTCTTTCCTCCCAAATGGTGTAATTAAAACCGCACCAAGAGAGCCTCAAAATAGTAGAAATCAGGGACTTACCTTTCCAAGACTTGGCTGCCCACTCCAGCAGGCTGGACCAGGAAGTGATATGCTTGTTCAACCCCGACAGATGGAGCAGTGATCTCCAAATAGAAGCAGTTTGCATACAAGTGGCGAAAAGATGGTCTCTAGTTTCAATTTCATCCGAGCAGAAAATACACCCAGCATTGGAAAGAACCCCGAAACGTTGTAATCTGTCTTTGGTTGGGAGACGATCCAGAATGATCATCCAAGAAATCATGCTATGCTTCGGAACATGGAGAGAAAACCAGATCAGATTATGCCAAGGGACTTTGCTGTTTTTGGGTCGAATCTCTTCCCAAATTTGTTTAGTGTTAATTGCAGAAGCAGTGGTCTGGCTATGGTTCGTAATTTCAGAATACGCCTAAATATCCAACTTGAATTCGGCGGTTCTGTCATGGTCCAGAAATATCTTACATCTTCTCTTAGTTTCATTTTGTTCTGCAATTACTGGTTTGGTTCTATAATTATTTGATTTGAACTGGTTCTATTGCTTGGTAGCTGATCCATCATTTCAGGTCATTCCAAGTGCACTATGCTACCAATGTCTACTTCTTTTAATGGAAATATTTAGCACATTTAGTATCATGAAAAGGATTGCAAGAATGTCATTTTGAGTAGAGAAAAGTGGTGAGCATGATAGTTGGATTGAGTGAAAATCCAATGCTTGCAGCCATCCTGTACTTATAACTAATTGAAGTGGACTTGGAATGAGATGGTTACCATTAATTCCCCATGTTAACAAGTTCATGTCTTTCTTTTCATGTATGTATTATGCACATATATGTCTGCTTTAGAAATGATGATTATGTTGTTAGTTGAATGGTGTACAGTGAAAGAGATGCAGATTGCATTTACTGATTGTCCAGGGGTTGAGAAATACAAGAACAAAAAACATGACGTCTAATGAAAGGGAAAAAAGTCAGCCTGTAAAGAGTTCTAGAATAATTTCAAAGAGGGCAGAAAAGCACGTCGACTGGCATCATTCTCCCATTCTAGCTCCTCCCACCATTCTCGAAGTCCCTTAATGGTGACGTGATTCCCTTTTGCGCTGTCGGAGTTGAGGGGAAGCTTCTTCAGTTTCGGGCAGTTTAGTGTATGAATATGATTCAGACATGGGAAGGGCAGGGCACCCCAGTATATGCTCTTCAATTCTGGTAGAGAGGATAAATGAAGATTTTCAAGCTTCATAAATGGTGTAGGGTATGGAATTCCGACCACATCTGCAACTTCTCCAAGTTTACTCTTACTCAATATTTCTTCCATTTTTACACACGCAACAATCTCAACAGACCTTAGATTTGGAGCAAGAATCAGCCAGGTAACGTCCTTCAGTTTTTGACACTTTGCAATTCTAACTTCCCTCAATGTGTAAAAGAGAGTAGTATAATCAGTAATAAGAGAAACCCTGCTATGTTGTGTTCCAATCTGCATCTCCTCCATATTTTCACAGAGCAAGATATGTAATCTCTCCAGACGCTCCGTATTTTCCAAACATAAAACATCAAACACAATTGACTCCCTGAAATCTCTCAACTCTAGTGCTTCGGTGCAGCATCGAAGCAAGTGGATGCTTAGAAATCTTTCTAAAGCTGACATGCTTCTTATTGGTGGTATCCTTAGTATCTTCAAATGTTGCAAACTTTTCAATTCCTCTATAAGCTTTTCATTATTATCCCCATCCAGAACATTGTCTTCCTCCTGATATCCTTCTGACATATACCACAATCTGAATATTTGCAGCTTGGAAAAACTAGATATCAAATGTTGAGGGATTTTTCTGAGAGAGTGCATGTCACTCAAGTCCAACATTTTCAGTTTTGTCAAGGATTTCAACTCCATTGGAAACTCTCTTAGACCGGTCCTCGATATATCAATACATTCCAGAGAAATCAATTGTGAAATTCCAATAGGTAGTGCTTCTAAACATATGTTCACCGACAAATCCAAAACGGTTAGATGAGGCATGAACTGAAAGAAGTCGTCGCTGATCACCTGCAACTCATTTTTTCTAAGAAATAAAGTTCGAAGGTTTGCACATTTAGGTGTTTCTCTCAGAACTTTAATATGATTTTGCATCACGGACATTCTTTTTGCACCATCCCATGCCTTAACATCTGGCTCTTCAAATAATTGAGCCCCTGCTTTTACAAAAAAGCTTTTTTCTTCTGCTTCAAGCTCGCATGCTATCCATAAACACATGTCTCGGATCACGTCATGCATCTTCACATATTCTTTTCCATCAAATGATTCTTCTGCTCTTTCCAATAAACATGCACTAAGAAGAGAGTTGATAATGTGGTCTCCTTGCATTTGAGCTTCACTAATTCTATCGAATTCATTCAACAACCCTTCACAAAACCAGTATTCCACTAATGTCTTTGTTGGAATTTGATAATCTTCAGGATACAGACAACAATATAGGAGGCAACATTTCATTGTTGGAGTCAGATTATCATAACTGAATTTTAAAAGCGGATATACCTCCTTTTCCATTTTAGGTAACATCGATCGCTTCAACTTCTCGATAGCATATTTCCATTCCCCGGGAGTTGTCTTGAACACCATAGCACGGCCGATTGTAATCAATGCAAGAGGCAGTCCACCACACTCTTTGGCTACTTGTTCAGCTAGTTTCGGAATATCTGGATGGCTGTTGAGGGTTTCATCTCCAACCTTGTCTTGGAACAATTTCCAAGCCTCTTCTGGTTTCAGGCACTCCACTTTAACTATCTTTCGAGCTTCCATTTCACCACAAACTTCTAACGATCGAGTAGTGAAAATAAGTTTGGAACCATTTTCTTGGGTTGGTTTTGGAATCCCAACTTTGTTCAAATCCACCCTCTCCCATAAATCATCCAATAATACAACAAATCTCTTGTTGCGCAAGATCCCATAGATATTCTCAGCTTTATGCTCAACACTTTTATTTGATCCACCCAAAACACCAATTTTCACACCAATCCTGTCTTGAATATTTTCAACATTGTAATCTCTAGACACCAGGGCCCAAATTACGACATCGAAATGATTAGGCGTAGTGCTGAACTTGTTGTTGATTTGGGTTAAGAGTGTTGTCTTTCCAACACCTCCTATGCCGTAGAGGCCAATGATCCCCAAATCTTTGTCCATGATGCATCTCCATACGTCGTCAATCGTGGATTCAAGAGAAATTGGCTGTTCATCAGGTCTCACTACCACAGAAGCTACAGGCTGACTCTCTGCTACCTTCTCAAAAGCACCTTTACTCATGTGGTCTTTTATGTCTCGAAGCATTTTGGCCACTTTCTTCCCAAACTTGTAGCTAGCCACACAATTCTTGGAAACGCAGCTGCCTAGACACAGGTTATCTATTTCTTGTGGACCATCTGCAATCAAATTTTCAGCCTCTGCTATCATAGTTTGCGCTTTCGAAAGCCATAGCTGAACTCGCTCAAGTCGCATCAGTGACCGTTGTTCAGCCAGTTCGACCTCTCTTTGCACGTCGTTCCTGTGAACCCTCATTTCTTCAAGAGCCGCAGATAAAGTTGCAAGAGTTTGCTTTAGCTTGCGCACATAATTAGCCTGGCCGACAATGGAATCCCAGCCTCGAATGATGAAATTCTCGAAACCACATTGTATGGATAAGCAATTGCCCATGATTCTGGTAGCAGAGAAAACCCTTCCAACTATGATGGGTATTTGTTTATTTTCAATAAAGAAATTAAGAATCTTTTGGTTGGTACGAATTGGTAGGGGCATGGTCCATGACATGACATGATACGAAAACGACTTAGAAAAATCAGGCAGAGCTGATAATCACCCTTTCAAACATGAGCTGTGTTTGATTGAGAAGTCTCGTGTTCCTTTCAAATTTCTTCCGCTAGATTGACATTGCTTCCCATATCTGTACTGCTGAAAAATATCCTGCAATTGAGACTATGGTTGTAAATGAGACGAGACAGATCGCGAACTACTCGAGATCGACTCGATCAAGGCTCGATAAATACTTGGATCGAATGGACTCGACTCGACTCGAGCTCGACTCGACTCGAGCTCGACTCGAGTTCTTAACAAATCGAAACGAGCTACTTGATATTCGACTCGAAAAGCTCGTGAGCAGCTCTAAAATATAATATATTAAGATTTTATTTTTAAAAAAATAAATTATTAATAATATTAATATTTATGTATTGATTTTTTTTTTTTAAAATACAGTAATATTTTCATGTATTTAAGGTTTATGTTTGAGTTTGAGGCTTTAATCGAGTTAAATTTAAGAAAAAAAATCATTTTAGAACCCTTTCGAGCTGCTCACGAGCTTCAGTTCAGGATTTCGAGTTCGAGTCGAGCTTGAAATTTTTAAGCTCGCGAGTTTTCGAGTCGAATCGAACTCCATTTAAGAGTTTTCAAGTAGAGTTGAGCTCAGCAACACTCGAGCTCGACTCGGCTCGTTTACACCCCTAATTGAGACCTAGAAGAGCATCCCTAGACATATAACCTCCATAGCTTTATATTTAGGAGAATCATGATCCTTCGAGATGACTTCTGACAGGTAACACATAATCTGTCAGAGTCAAAAATCAATAACAATTAGTCAAATCAATTAGTAATGGATCTAGGTGTTAAAAATAAGATTAAATAATTCAATACTCTATTCTAAAAAAAATTGGATATGCAAATTTTATCATTTTGTCCATTTTCAATTATAAGTAAACTAAATTTAACAATTTTCCTAAAATAAGTACATACATTTGCCCCTGAATAGACATGCTAACCTACAAGCAGTTATAATGATCCTGCGCTGACACCAACACTAAAAGAATGGTCGAAATCTTTATGAAATCTATCTTTCTTCCTACACTTTGAAAACCAACATTACTAACTGTTTGATCATCGATTATAACTCTATGTTCAAATCATAAGAGATAAACCGTTCAAACCCGACATAACCATGTAGTTGCATGAAGGTATTTGATTACTTTGAATTTTGAAACCGGGTTTCAATTATTTGTAAGATTTTTTCCACTTCTTTGAAGCCCCTCAACAATGATGGGTATTTGTCTATTTTCAATAAACAAAAGTGGAATCTTACTCAGCAACTAGTTGGTTTGTGCATGGCCCATGCATTTAGTTTGCAATTACTATTGATAGAACTATGAGCATACTCTTAAAATTTACATTTTTTAATATTTGTTATTAGAGACTCATTTTTTCAATACTTGTTATTATGAAGAAAATTTATTTTTTCAACATTTATTATTATGAACAATTACTTAAATAACGGTCTGTAACCAGAACAATAATTATTATGCAGTGGTAATGACATAGTCCAAATTGTGATATCCACAATTATCATGTCCACAATAGTATATATTACTCCTATTAAGAATCAACAACCACGATACTTGTAGTGACTGTAATATCATCTGTTATGTTCACAATAGCGAAAAACTCAACTAAACCAATGAAACAAATGCAAATTGGAATTTAAATCTCCAAGTTTTTTAGTTTCCTCAGGGTCCCCATAATCCTACGAAGAGGTATGTCAGGCTGAAAAGATGGCATAAAAGCATTTCGAGTGGCTTCATTCTCCCATTCTAGCTGTTCCCACCAATCTTGGCTTCCTTCAATGGTGATGTGATTTCCTTTCGCGCTGTCAGAGTTGAGAGGAAGCTTCTTCAGTTTTGGGCAATCATTTATGCAAATACGTTTCAGACATGGGAGGGGTAGGGCATCCCAGAACATGCTCTTCAATTCTGGTAGATCGATGAAAAAAATAGTTTCAAGCTTCAGAAATGGTGTAGGGTACGGAATTCCCACAACATTTGCAACTTCTCCAAGTCTTCCCTCGCTCAGCATTTCTTCCATTTTTGCACACCTGGTTATCCAAAGAGACCTTAGATTTGGAGCAAGAAACAACCAGGTAACGTCCTTCAATTTGTAACAACTAGAAATTCTAACTTCCCTCAATGTGTGGAAGCGTGAAGTATAATCAGTAATAACAGAAACCCCTCTATGCTGCCTTCCTATTCCCATTTTCATTTCCTCCATGTTTTCACATCCCATGATATCTAATCTCTCTAGACCTTCCACGTTTTCTAAACATAAAACATTGAACACATTTGTCTCCCAAAAAGACCACAACGTTAGTGCTTCAGTGCAGCATCGAAGGCTTAGAAATCTTTGCAGAGAAGACATACTTTGTATTGGTGGTATCCTTAGTATATTCAGATGTTGCAGACTTTTCAATTCCTCTATAAGCTTTTCATAATCATTACGCCAATCCAGAACATTGTCTTCCTCTGGATAACTTCCTGTGGCCAGATACCCCAACCTGAATATTTGCAACTTGGAAAAACTAGATATCAAATTCTGTGGAATTCTTCTGAGATGCTGCATGTTACTCAAGTCCAACATTTTCAGTTTTGTCAAAGATTTCAACTCCATTGGCAACTCTTTTATACCGGTCCGGGATATATCAAGACATTCTAGAGAAATCAATTGCGAAATTCCCTTTGGTAGTGCTTTTAAATCTATGTTAAATGACAAATCCAAAACAGTTAGATGAGGCATAAAGTGAAAGAAGCCATCATTGATGACCTGCAGCTTATTTTGGCTAAGAAACAAAGTTCGAAGGCTAGGGCATTTAGGGGTTCCTCTCAGAACTTTAATCTGATTTTTCATCACCGACATTCTTTTTGCAGCTTCCCATGCCTTAACATCTGGCTCCTCTAGTAATTGAGCCCCTGCTTTTACAAAGAAACTCTTCTCTTTATCTTCAAGCTCGCATGCTATCCACAAACCCATGTCACGGATCACATCATGCATCTTCACATATTCTTTTCTATCGGATGATTCTTCCACTCTTTCTAATAAAGAAGCCCTAAGAAGAGAGTTGATAATGTGATCTCCTTCCATATGGGTTTCACTAATTTTATCTGATTCAAACAGCCCTTCACAAAACCAATACTCGACCAATGTCTTTATGGGAATATGATAATCTTCAGGATACAGACAACAATATAGGAGGCAACATTTCATTGTAGGAGGCAGATAATCATAACTGAATTTTAAAAGCGGATATACCTCATTTTCCATTTTGGGTAAGATCGATCGCTTCAACTTCTTGATTGCATAATTCCATTCCCCAGGTGTCGTCTTGCAAGCCATGGCACGTCCAATTGTAATCAGTGCAAGAGGCAGCCCACAACACTCTTTGGCTACTTGTTGAGCTAGTTTCGGAATATCTGCATGGATATTGAGGGTTTCATCTCCAACCTTGTCTTGGAACAATTTCCAAGCGTCCTCGAATTTCAGACAGCCCACCTTAATTTTTTGTCGAGCTTCCATTTCGCCACAGACCTCAAATGACCGAGTAGTGAAAACAAGTTTGGAACCATTTTCTTGATTTGGTTTTGGAATCCCAACTTTGTTCAAATCCACCCTCTCCCATAAATCATCCAATAATACAACGAATTTTTTGTTGCGCAAGACCCCAAAAATATCCTCAGCTTTCTGCTCAATGCTTCTATTCTTCCACGATTCATCGGAGAAACCAATTTTTCCACCTATGCTATCTTGGATCATCCCAACATTGTAATCTTTAGACACCAAAGCCCAAATTACAATATCGAAACCCTCCGGTGTGGTGCTGAACTTGTTGTTGATTTGGGTCAAGAGTGTTGTCTTTCCGACGCCTCCGACGCCGTAGAGGCCAATGATGCCCGCATCTCTGTCCACGATGAAGCTCCATACCTCGTCCATTTTGGATTCAATAGCAATTGGCCGCTCCCCAGGTCTTACTACAACTGAAGCTGCGGGTTGAGTCTCTGCTACCTTCTCAAAAACCCCATTACCAGTGTGATCCTTTATGTCTTGAAGCGTTTTGGCCACCTTTTTCCCAAACTCGTAGGTAGACAGGCAATTCTTGGAAACGCAGCCGCCGAGACACAAGTTATTTATTTGTTGAGGGCCATCTTCAATCAGTTTTTCTGCCTCTGCTATCATAGTTTCTGCTTTTGAAAGCCATAGCTGAACTTCATGGAGTCGCTTCAGTTGCCGTTGTTCTTCCAGATCAACCTTCCATTGCACGTCATCCCTTCGTGCCTTCAGTTCATCAAGAGCAGCAGATAAAGTAGGAAGAGTTTGTTTAAGCTTGCACACGTAATTAGCCTGTCCAACAGTGGAATCCCAGCCTCGGATGAGGATTTTCTCGACATTTAATTGTATGGAGAAGCAATTTCCCATGATTCTGATAAATACTTGGGGAGAGGATCTGGAATTTTTGGTGAGTGAAAGAAAGCAAATAAAACTGAAGACAAAAAAAGAAACCTAAGAGATTGGACTTTGTTTTCAAGGAAAGGGGAAACAAAAAAGAACAGAGAAGAAATCAAAGTTGCTCAAAGAAATTAAGGGTCCAACGTTTTCCTAATACTTCTAACTGGAGCCCTTGTTTGAATACATTTTCAAAAGGTTGGGCCCATATTTGAGCAGATTAAAAAATATTAAACCCTTATTCAATCCTTTTAAAAGGTTAGACCTTTATTCGAACGTACACAAAAACAGTAAACTCTTATTAACTTTTTTGAAAAGTTAGATCCTTAGTTAAGTAATCTCTAAAACATTAGGTCCTTATTTGAGTGTTTAACCAAATTCTAACAAATAAAAGTAAATGGTGAAAATCACGGAGATCATCACTCAACTATCTTCTTCCTTCTATTTAGGTTTCTAAACTTTCAAACTTTTCAATTTACTAACTAAACTTTTCTATTTTCTATTTAGGTTCCTTCTATTTCCTTCTATTTATTTGCTAACAAATAAAGTAGATTCTGACTTTGTTTCTTTTGTTTTGTTTAGGGAAAGAAAATTCTTGAAGGTGTAGACAACCCTATTGGTCCTTATGGCACAAAGGTTGGTATGGGTTGAAAATGTCTTTCACAGTGTATTACAGTTGGAAATATCTTTTGGACCTTGTATGTTTCATCTTATATAGAAGGATTGGCAGATAGTTTTTGACCCTTTATTTATTTTATTTTTTTGCTAGAAGATTTGCCCCTTTATCATGCATTTGTTCTGTTTTTCTGTTTGTATAGTTTTCTGCATAGCTTCAGATCTTGGATTTATTGCACTTCTACCTGATGATTTATGTTTAAATCATGGCTAGCTAGTAATATTCTTCTGTAAATTTAACATTTTGTGTTTGTGACTTTATTTTTTTATGGTGATAAAACCGTTGTTTTTACCCAAAAATACCCAACCGTTAAATAATTACATGTAAGGCACCGATCGCCCTATTTTTACCGATCTAACGCCTTTTTAACACCTTTTGTGACAAGGTGACAAAAAGGCGTTGATCACCATCCGTGCCTTCCTGGGGTTCGTCCGAGCTGGCGCCACGTAGGGATAAAACTTGGATCACCATTCGTGCCTTCCAAAATTACCCCAACCGTCCGCTTTAATTACCGCGTCTCCCTCCCATATAAATACCTCATCATACAATCCTCAAATCACACCAAAACGAAAATAGTCTCTTCTTATCACTCATTCTATCAAACCTCAAGTATGTTCTGTTATTAATCTTAGAAGGTAAAATTATTGTTATTATATTATAATCACTAAATAGTTAATTATTTTATTATATTTTACTGCCTAAACTTTTTTATGTTTTGCAATTATAAAAATGGAAGACAGATTGTTGCGTTTAGATGGGAATTATATCGCTGGTCATTTTGCCGATACGATAACAATTTATTTTATTTGTATTAGTTTTATTATTGTGTTATGTTAATTATTGCGCATATTTTATTTATTTATTTATTTAGTATTATTTTATATTTTAATTTGTGTATTATTTATTTAATTAGGAGAATAATCTTATATTAGATCCATTTATTCGTAATGCTAAGTTAGAAATATCAAGTCGTGTCTGGACGTATTTAGTAGAGGTTCGATTTGGTTACACAGCTAGATATAAAGGGCATTGTAACCTTGAAAGAAATCTTATTCTGCATTGGTCAAGAGGTGGAGACCGGAGACATGCACGTTTCATCTTCCGTGTGGGGAGTGTACGATTACGCTGGAGGATGTTTCCTTAGGGCTGTTGGTAGATGAGGATGTCATTTTGGGTGTGGATGATGGTGACTATAATTCATTGTGAAAAGAGTATCTTGGAGGTATTTCGCCTAATTTTAATGGTGGTTGAATATCGTTATCATGGTTGACGACATATGTTGAGCATTTGAGTGAAGATTGTTCCGAGGAATAGGCTAAAAGAGTAGCATGAGCTTGCATATTGCGACTGATAGAAGGGATCTTGATGCCTGTTAAATCTCACAACCACGTTCATTGTATGTGGTTGCATCACCTCGCCGATTTTCGAGTTGTCTAGTCATTCAGTTGCGGCTCCGCAGTTTTGGCATCTTTGTATAGAGAAATGTGTCGAGCAACAGATTATCAAAAAAATACTATCGACGGATGTCTCATGCTTTTGTAGTCATGGGCGTAGTATCGCATGCCCTTTTTATGTATGGTGGTGAAGAACTCGTTAGTCTTCCCGTTATTATTGAGGTAATTTCAATATTGAGTTCTATATAAATATTTTTTTAAGTATATAATGAATATTTTTTACACTGAATAGGTGATCATGCTTAAGGAAAGATCATCATGATATATCAGACGAATTAGAAGAAATTTGACTACTCATTGATCAAAAAACTGGTACACAGGTATGCATTTAAATTTTGTTATTTAACTTTAATTATCGTTATATAATTAAAATATTATTTTGAAAAGAATTTTATATATTTATTGTAGTTTCAATGGACTCCTTATGCTACTGACGAAATGAGACATTGTATCCACCTAATATGAGTGGCCCATTAGATGTATGGATGAAGATGGTCCCTCTGATATGTTATGCTATTGTCGAGTGGCATCCGACTGATCATGTGCTCAGGCAATTTGGTTTCATACAATCTATTCTAGAAGTGTATATGAATCTCGACAATTTGTATAACATTGATATACGGAGAAAAATAAGTCAATTGGCTGATGAAACAGAGAGAGTGGGTGATGATGTTGGAGGATCGACGTGGATGCATTCCCCTTAGAGAGTCAATTTATGTGGATCAGTATTCAGTTGTGGATAACTACTACCAGTGGTTGAACACGAACGGTAAGCCATTCATGCTTTCCGAGGAAGCACGAGCCCATATCATTTATCGACGTCGAGAAAGGTGTCCATTGTCCCAGTCGCATCGTCCCTCGACTCATGGATAGAGAGCATGCACTTCTGATTCGTCTTTAGCTGTAGCACCGAAACCATCACAGTAGCCACCGTCTACACCAGGTTACAATTCGCAGCCGTTCTAGATGGGGATGTAGCCATTTTATATGGCTCCACAGGTGTTTCAAATATTGCCACCTCCATTTCAGATGCCACCACAACAGGTTCTGATGCCATCATTGCAAGGTTTTATAACCCTCTAGATGGATATTACAGTTCCATGCTTGTAGATCCAACGTAGGCTTTATATGCTGTTTATTTGGCAGGTGATGCGCCGCCACAGACTCAAACACCTCAAATTCAATTTTTGCATTCATCGATGTTTATGTTTTCATTATTTTCACAGTTTTCTATGAGCGGTGGGATGGTTAGTCATACACCTCTAGGGTCATTATTCTATGGAGGTGGTACATCATCATCCGTCCTTGATCAACAAAATGTATCTGCTGATGATATGATGATGATGAGAGTGAAGAGTAAGAACAACTTATACGAAGAAACCCTCATCGAAATAGACAGCCACCGCCCTGTAGAACACATTCGAGACACAGAAATTGATAGAATTGTTTAGTTTGTAATTTTTTTTATTTATTTTTCTTTATTTAACAACAAATGTAATCTTTTTATATAATAATGACTTTTTTATTTATTTTGTGTCTATTAAATAATTTGTTGAATTGTTTTTATTATTTAGTTTGTCCAGTTTTTGTACTTAATCTTCACTTGAGTAGCACATTATTTGAACGTAAACGAAAATGAAATAACACAAACTGATATTTTAGAAAAATAATTTCATCGGCACAACAATTGTTACGTGATGATAAAAGAGATGAACATTTTTCCTATTATGGCCTAGGTTTCTACAATGCCCACTTCTTTTGTTTTCTTTGGACGTCTCTCGAATATTCATATCACAGTGAATTCGAATAGATTTTGGACGATCTGATTCCCTTAATAAGGACAGATCTGGTACAATCGAAAGCCAATTTTGCACCTCGTCTGGGTCTTTCTCATTACCTATGAGGATAACTCAAATTCATATACCTTAAATACTTCTGAAAGTCGGTATACGAGATCCACAAAATGGTTAAAGTCTTTAATGGTATAAGAGCAAGTCACTATGACATGGAGCATGGATACTTTAGAGCTTGAAAACCCCACAATCACACTACTTGTTTTGTAGATTAACTCTGAACGAGATAGATTCAATCCTTTAAAGAGGTTGTGGCATTTCTATGACACGAAATAATTCATGGGTTCGAGAGAAGATACTTACAAACATTCCATTTTAAGCGTCAATTCTCTTTTTTTATCTGTAACTAATTTTAGGTGATAAACATGACCATTTTGCATCAAAATTTGAGTTTTTCTACTGAGCTTGGAAAAAAGTGCTCCTAAACAAAAATACATCGTTTTAACCAAAGTTGTAACTAGTAAATAACATGCCTCCTTTAAGGTCAAATTAATAGCCTCATCCAAGTTGGTCATCACGTGTCCATATTAATATCAACCATCATATGCATTTGTTCACATTTCTTTGTTGATGAGGCTGATATAACTGTTTCATTGTTCGTTTTTCCCTCATAATTCTTGAAGTGTGGACTCAAACGTCTGAGGTAATAGTTTGTAACCTAAGCAATTTATGTAGTACTTATAGTTAAGTTCCCATAAAAAATTCTACAGAAATAAAATTAAGAAATGTTACATACCCATGCGCACAAGTAATTGACGTTCATCATTCTTCTTGAACTTTGATACTTCGTGGAAATATGTCAGACACAATACCGATGTTGGACATAGGGTGGTTGCCATATTGGACCCAAAGAGTTCATTATTTCTTTGATCCCAACTCTACAATCTGAAATGACACATATTTTTTCCTCGTGACAACATGTAAGCGTAAATGTTTTAGGAAAAAAACCCAAGAGTTTGTATCTTCTCCTTCAACAAAGGCAAAAACATTTGGATAATATTGTGATTATCATCTTGAACAACTGTCAATAGTAGAACTTGCTTGTATTTTCCATACAAGAATGTCTCATCAATATGGATCACGAGCTTGCAGTATTTCACAACATTAATGCATTGCGGGTAAGTCCAAAACAATCGGTAGAATTGGTATCAATCATGAAGCACTCGATCATTTTTGTATGCATGAAAAGTTTGGAAGTCCACTATTGTTCCAGTATTCAGTCTGCGCACTACCCTAAACCAACTTGGTAATTCGGTGTACAATGAATCCCACTCACCGTGTAGTTTTTTAATGGCATCATGCTTTGTCTTCCATGATTTCCTGTAGGAGACGTTGTACCCATATTGAGAGTGTATAGCTAAAATCAGCACTACAATAGCTATATGGGAGCTTGCTTTGACCAAGGGTATGATGGTTTGGCAGATAATGTCGGAGTCCAAGTTGGGATGGTCCTGGCTGATCCCTCTAGCACAGCATGTATGAGGACTTTTGTATATTGTTAGTTCACATATGTTATTTTTCCTCTTTCTCTTTGATACACGAACCATCCAATTACATCTGTTATCACGTTATACACAATAGTATATATATTATTCGGTGGTGGATTCGTCGACTCTGGAGTGAACAGAATTACAAATGTTGTAATTATTAATAGCAATCATTGCTTCTTCTTTAGATGAAACTCAATTCCGATATATAACTCACCATCATTGACTGATGAGTTAAATCTATAGTCACCAACATTAGGCATATCCGTAAATTATAGCTCGTACATTGCACCATAGTCAGTTTCATACATATGTGCTGGAGGTTTGGTGTGTACCGTAATTATGGGAACTTCATCTATATCATCATCATCATCAGAGTCCATGTTGAATTGCGGTGATTATGACTCAACAAATAGTCCAATCTCAGTACCATCTGACCTGGCTCGCGAAGAGGTTCTTTTGGTAGAGATGAGGGTTCCTCTACGATATTGATATTTAGGTCGAACAAGTTGGTAGTTGAATGTATTCCCCTTGAACTTAAAGACATCGTGTCATATGGGTTTTGGACTGAGTGTTGTGTCACAGACATCTCGCCATTGAGGTTAAAGAAGCTTGCAATTGAATGTTTCCCCTGGAATTTGAAGGCACCGTGTCAAATGGGTACTAAACAGATTGTTGTGTTGATGGCATCCTCATATTCAAGTCAAGGAAATTGGTAGATGAATGTCTTCTCTTTGAACTGTAAGAAACTTTACCATATCGTGAAGCCACTTCGATAGACATCGTAACAAGTTGTTGATGAACGTCTCCCCATTGAACTTGATGGGATGGTGTCATGATGTAGATTTACCATTATGGCGTTAAAATCATTGCACATTATTGTAGTTGGGCTATCAACTTGATCAGGTTGTTGAGCCAGCCCATAGTGGGAGTTAGGGGTGGGAATAGGCCATGCCAGACTTTAAAAGGCCTGAGCCTGGCCTACGATGAATTTTGTAGGCCTGAGCCTGTCCTATAGCCTATCAAAGGCTTTTATTTTTGCTCGACCTGGCCTTTTTAAAAGCCTGGCCTGATAGCTTTTTTAAAAGCCTTTTTAAAAAATAACACAATTTCTATAATAGCTAAATTTGGCTTAATTTTTAATATAAACTGAAATCAATATAAAATAATCCAAAACAAAAGAGAACCTCATACTTAGGTAGCATCATCCAAGTCTATCAAACCAACATATTAACTATTACAAACAAAAAATAAAGCCTACATCTCCATTCCATTTGAACAGAACTGGTACATCAAAACTTCAATGTGATTGTATCTCTTCTTTTTCAGCCTTCAAAATAAGAAGAAGAAAAATACATATATGTTAGTTACTAGATTGAAAAACACTACATAAATAAATTGCTCATCTTCTATTGACTACAATTTTGCCTTCCCCTCAGAAAAAAATGAGGAAATGAGGCAGCATACATGCTATGTTTATATTTGATTCCTAAAATAAGTATAAGACCAGTTTACTACATAACTGTTCATGCTTTGCTACAAGAAAACCATCCTAAACTTCAACAAACACAAGTTGCGATCAAATGAAACATCTCCGCTACAGGAAAATGCTCTAAAAAATACAACACATGCCAAGCACAGGCGAACATAAGAAAAATAAACTACATTAAAATTTGAGTGAACTTCTAGTACTACCTCAAATAAAAACATGTGTCAACCAAAAACTAAAAAAATACCTGATCAACTGATCGTATATCAGGAGAAAGGCCACCATGTACACATAGCACCTGCAAAATAGAAAATAGTAGACCAATTAAAGATGTGCAAGGTGCTTACTGCTTAGCTATAGATGGTTTACAGAGAGAATGCTTACTGTCCCATTTATAATTGCAGAAAGTGTATGATAATCAAAAACATCAGTACAATATCACCATGCATTAGCATTTCCATACTTCCTTTGCCAGTGAATACAAAGAGCATGAGAACAAATTAGAATCAGAGAAATAATGCACCCAACTACATTATTGAAAACCAGTAGATAAACCCCAATAAAGATTATAGAAACGCCGAACTATGTATCCACTATCGAGGGCATACCTTGCCTTAAGAAACAGAAGAATAGTGAAAACTTCAAGACTATTATAACCTCGATCAACAAAATCTCCCTGTCCAAAGGAATAGAAAGGTTAAGCACCGATTAGTCGAAATCAATAATACACCAGACAATAATTTCCACCGCATGAACTGGGGTATAAAATATATCATAAAAATGTAACTTGTATCCGGCACATGAACTGGGCGAGAGTGATGGCTTCGGTGGGTGTCCGACAGCCATGGATGGGCTCGGTGGATTCGTGTGCCAGTGGCGCACTGTTTCGGGCAGAGTGCTGGCATGGTCTGATTGTTCTGTAATTTGTACTGTTCTGCAATAACAATATATATTGATACCAAAAAAATAATATAAATATGCATATCTATATAGGCCGGCCTATCAGGCTTATAAGACTTTATAATAAGCTTAAGTCTGACCTATTTAAGTTAATAGGCTTTTACAAAAAACCCGAGTCTGATCTTTTTATTAAATAAGTCAGGCCAGGCTTTATGTAGGCCAGGCCGTAGGCCCCTGTAGGCCGGTCTGGCCTATTCCCACCCCTAGTGGGAGTATAATAACATACCACGAACCGCATACACTTCAACAAATATCGCATACATCTATGTATAGGAGTCTGAATTTTGATTCTGAGAATCAACCATCATAGCAACATCTTCATCGTTGAAGAGTTCGAACGTTGTATAAGTTAACGGAAATACTGTTGTTGGAAATTTGTACTGAAGTGAGGACAGTCTTCCAGTACTTCCAATATAAACCTTCCTTGAAATTTTAGTGATCAGCTCCTCGATAGTGATGTTTCTCTTGAAATATATTCTGACAGAATGATTAGATGCGACAACGCCTGTTTCATCTTCCCTAATTTCTCCATCATAGTAAACAATAGTTAAAATACGCCTCATTTTTAGAGTTTGAAAGTTTAAAAGATTAGGAGTTTTATATACGTAAAAACAATAAATTAAATACACCTAATTAAATAAATAATATACGAATTTAAAAATAAACTAATGCTAAAACATTTAAAAAAAAATCACAGTAAATTTAATAACATAATTTAACATTGTTATCATCTCAGGAAAATGTCTCAAGATTTGATCCCGCCTTTCATTTTATACCCGCACAAAATAAAACAAAATCATTAGTACAAAAAAATTTAATCCAATAATTAAATTTAAAATGACAATAATATAATAAAAATTATTTTTACCTTCTAAGAACTATAACAAAATCTACTTAACTTGATAGAGGAAAATTATAGAACGAAGAATATGAAATTAACTTTTTGGTGTGATTTTATGTTTATTAACGATGTTATTTATAGGGAAGTGGTGAGTGATTCTCAAGGTTCGAGTAATGATAGAATACACAATAATTTAAGGAAATAATAGAAGGCGTGGATGATGATTCACGCCTTTGTCGCGTGTCAAAACCACAGGAAGACTCGGATGGTTATCCGCGCTTTACACCCTACTTACGCTAGCTCGAACAAACCTCAAAAAAGGCACGAATGATAATATGTGCCTTTTTGTCACGCTATCACAAAGGGTGTTAGATCGATAAAATTAGAGCAATCGTGCGTGACAGATAATAATTAAATGGTTGGGTGATTTTTTTGGGTAAAAAGACCGATAAAACCTTTATTTCTTTATGCTGGATACAGAAATATTGACCTTTTATGAAATGACAAGAGTGATGTCATTACTTGACTTTTGAGCTTTGAATTATTCTACTTGTAGGAAGAACTTGCTGCTGTCAAATCCTAATGTGACAAAAGAAAAGTTGGATGCCAGGAAGGTGAAGTCGGTACGTTTCTTTCACCAAATATTGACCTTTTATGAATTCATAAGAGTAATGTCATTACTTGACTTTTGGGTTTTGAATTCATCTGCTTGTAGGAAGAACCTGCTGTTGTCAAGTCCTACTATGGCAAAAGAAAAGTTGGATCCCGGGAGGTGAAGGCGGTATGTTTCTTTCATCAAATATCTGTTTCTTCTCTTCTAGGTCTGGACCCGGCCGTGGTTATACGAAGTTGAATCATTCTGCTGGAACTAATATTAATTCATTTAACTATTTAAAAAATGCAGAGGATGAGCATGATGTGGTCTGGTTCTGGCCGGAGAAAGGAAAGCCACGTGATTGCTCACAGCATTTTGTGGTGAGTAGATATCTCAAATTCGGAGAAAATTCATTTCATATTTCCTAGTATTGAGCTTATCTATTTGAGCTCACATTTAAATATCTGTTTCTTTGCATTATCCGGATCCATATCGTGTTTAGAAATTTCTGTTTCTCACACATGGATTCACCAATAACTCTGAAGATTTTAATTAGTCATGGAACAACTAAACTGTATTAGTTTATTCTCTGGTCTAGATCATGGTTAATCAACCCAGATTGTGCAATAAATAGCTCGTGTATATTACGTTAAATTGGTAAATGAGATCAGTAATGCTACTAACAATCATCTATTATATTGAGATGCAAATGATCGAGCTATATGGTATTGTATGATTTTCCTATGTTGTCCCTGAAGGATACACTTGAAACTACAATGACATTGCTGTCTGTGTTGGTTTTCCTGCACAAAGTCACAAGCATCAAATTCTGATTTTGAGGTTGACGTGAATCAGTTTCAGGTTGGGGCCATGAATGAATCGAGTCCTGGAAGCCTTGAGGTTTACATACGTTTCAACGCGCTAGGTTGTTTCAAGCATTGTAGGATTTTCCTAATTATTAATGTTGGTGTTTGACATGGTGACGACGATCATCATCATTAATTGCAGTTCAGTTTTTTTCCTCCCGTATTGGAATAATATTGGAGAGAATGGAGCGAAGTCCAGTAGATGGTGCATTGCACCTTCAATTGTTCAAAAACCTGTCATGTTTGGTTTCTGATTGGCCCTTGGTCTTGTTTCAGGTGGTTCTTTAGACACGGTGATCGTACTTTTGAACTGTGAATCTTCATAGGTCTAACTTCAATGCTTTGCCAAATAATTTATGGCTACCGTCCCCATTATTTCATTGAACATGTTAAATTTTGAAGCAATCTTACAGGTTTATTCACATTCAATTGGATTGGCTTCAGGTTAAGTAATCTCGGGTTTAAAATTTTCAAGTTATGTCCATGTTGGTGTTAGTACGAGTTCAGGGTCACCTTACCTAAACTGTTACAGCATTAATGTTACAATGTTGTGAATTGTGACACTTTATATATATTCCATAACATTTTAGATAATGTTATGTGCTCAAAATATTACAAACTTTGAATTTCCACTAAGTTGAACTTTGAATCTTTGCTATTTTCCACAATTGGCTTACGATAAGACTCGGGCTCGAATGATCCCGTTGAACTCTACAAAACCTTCGGTAAATCGACTCCCTTCCCTTCCTCTCCCAACATCTTCTATACAAAAACACTAATCCTGTCATTTGTCTGTTGAGAAATCGACCGCGTCAACGCACCAATAACCGTGCTGCCAAAGATATTGTCCTCGGTAAATCGATTGTCTTCGACTCGAGCTCGAATGACGCTCGAATCAGATGATGACACAATTTTTATTTACGAACTGATCTCAACTTCTCAATGTCCTTTTACAGGTAGCCAGCTTCAGATACTTTGTCCTTGTTATACTTGAGAGATGATTCCTTGCTATGTTTTTATCCTGCCCTATGCTGTTTAGCACTAATTTTTTAAGCAGTAGAAGTCATCTTACATTTTTAATTTGGTTGAATTATGGTTTTGACCCCTTTACTATACACTATTTGTAATTTAGTCCCTATAACTTAATTTAGTATAATTTTATCATTTACTTTTATCGTGTCATAAATTTTCCATATAAATTAAAATTTCCAAATCATCATCTTCTTTATCTCATCCTCTCTTTCCTTAATCTTAAAGCATCAAATCTTCATGTTTTGCTCTACTTTTATCATGTTTTCCTTAACACAGAGATTTAACGCGTAAGATTGGGGAAGAAAATGATAAGATAAAGAACCATTTTTAATTTAGATTATAATGTTGGATTAAAGAAAGAGTAGAGCAAAACATCATATAAAAATATATAATAAGAAAATAATAAATTCGAAAGAAATTTAAAAATTTGTATTTCAAATCATAATTATAATGATAAATCAAAGAAAGAACGTAGAAAAACATGAAGATTTTTTGTCTCCTAGTTTCAAGCATGTATTATGGTATAAGAGTAATAGTGAATTTCTGAAAAGACGGCAGAAAAGCATTTCGAGTGGCCTCACTCTCCCATTCTAGCTGTTCCCACCAGTCTTGCCTTCCATGAATGACGATGTGATTCCCTTTGGAGTTGTCAGAGTTGAGAGGAAGCTTCTTCAGTTCTGGGCACTTCTTTACATGAATACTTTTCAGACATGGGAAGGGTAGGGCATCCCTGTATATGCTCTTCAATTCTGGTAGGCGTTCTAAAGTAAGATCTTGAAGCTTCAGAAATGGTGTAGGATATGGAGTTCCGACCACATCTGCAAGTTTTCCCTCACTCAAAACTACTTCTATTTTTTCACACTCATTTATCCAAAGAGACCTTAGATTTGGAGCAAGAAACACCCAGGTAACGTCCTTCAATTTGTGACAGTGCATAATTGCAACTTCCCTCAATGTGTGGAAGCCTGCAGTATGATTACTACTCGGAGAAAGCCTGGTATGCAGTTTTTCCATTCTCATCTCCTCCATATTTCCACAAGCCCTGAACCATAATCTCTCCAGACGCTCCATGTTTTCTAAACAAGAAACGTTAAACACTTTTGTCTCCTTAAAATACCACAACTCTAGTTCTTCGGTGCTGCATCGAAACAAGCGGAGGCTTAGAAATCTTTCTAATGCAGACATGCTTTGTATCTCTGGCATCCCTTGTATATTCAGATGTTGCAGACCTTTCAATTCCTCTATAAGCTTTTCATTATCACCCCCATCCAGAACATTGTCTTCCTCCGAACTGCCTCGCACATTCCACATCCTCAATATCTGCAACTTGGAAAAACTAGATATCAAATTTTGTGGGATTCTTGTCAGATGGTGCATGTCACTCAAGTCCAACATTTTCAGTTTTGTCAAGGATTTCAACTCGATTGGCAACTCTGTTATACCAGTCCCGGATAGATCAAGACATTCTAGAGAAGTCAATTTTGAAATTCCTTCGGGCAATGTTTCTAAATTCCAGTTTCCTGACAAGTTTAGAACAGTTAGATGAGGCATAAACTGAAAGAAGCCATCACCGATCATCTCAAAGCTATTATCGCTAAGAAACAAAGTTCGAAGGTTAGGGCATTTAGGGGTTCCTCCGAGATCTTCAATCTGATTTTGCATCACCGACATTCTTCTTACACCTTCCCATGCCTTAACATCCGGCTCCTCTGATAATTGAGCCCCTGCTTTTATAAAAAAACTCTCCTCTTTCTCTTCAAGCTCGCATGCTATCCACAAACACATGTCACGGATCACATCGTGCATCTTCACATATTCCTTTCCATCAGATGATTCTTCCACTCTTTCCAATAAACATGCACTAAGAAGAGAGTTGATAATGTGGTCTCCTTGCATTTGAGCTTCACTAAAACTATCAAATTCGTTCAGTAGCCCTTCACAAAACCAATATTCCACCAACGTCTTTGTGGGAATATTGTAATCCTCGGGATACAGACAACAGTACAGGAGGCAACATTTCATTGTGGAAGACAAATTATCATAACTGAATTTTAAAAGCGGATATACCTCCTTTTCCATTTTAGGTAACGTCGATCGCTTCAGCTTTTCGATTGCGTATCTCCATTCCCCAGGTGTTCGCTTGCAAGCCATGGCACGACCGATCGTAATTAGTGCAAGAGGCAGTCCATCGCACTCTTTGGCTACATGTTCAGCTAGTTTCGGAATATCTGGATGGCTGTTGAGGGTTTCATCTCCAACCTTGTCTTGGAACAATTTCCAAGCCTCTTCTGGTTTAAGACACTCCACTTCCAAGTTCTTTTGAGCTTCCATCTCGCCACAAACCTCCAATGATCGAGTAGTGAAAATAAGTTTGGAACCATTTTCTTTGCTTGGTTTTGGAATCCCAACTATCTTCAAATCCACCCTCTCCCATAAATCATCCAATAATATAACAAATCTCTTGTTAATCAAGACCCTGTTGACATCTACAGCTTTTTGGTCAACCCTTTTATTCTTCCAGGACTCATCCGAAAAACCGATCTTTCCACCAATCTCATCTTGAATCTTTCCAACATCGTAATTTTTAGACACCTGCACCCAAATTACGACGTTGAAATCCTCTGGTGTGGTGCTGAACTTGTTGTTGATTTGGGTCAAGAGTGTTGTCTTTCCAACGCCTCCTATGCCGTAGAGGCCAACGATTCCTACACCTTTGTCCATGATGCAGCTCCATGCCATGTCGAACGTGGATTCAAGAGCAATTGGTCGCTCCTCAGGTCTAATTACCACTGAAGCTTGGGGCTGAGTCTCTGCTACCTTGTCAAAAACTCCTTTACTAGTGTGATCCTTTATATCTTCAACCATTTTGGCCACCTCTTTCCCAAACTTGTGGGCAGACAGGCAATTCTTGGAAATGCAGCCGCCGAGACACAAGTTATTTATTTGTTGAGGGCCATCTTCAATCAAATTCTCCGCCTCTGTTATCATAGTTGCCGCCTGTGAAAGCCATAGATCAACTTCATGGAGTCGCTTCAGTAGCCGTTGTTCTTCCAGATCAACCTTCCATTGCACGTCATCCCTTCGTGCCTTCAGTTCATCAAGAGCAGCAGATAAGGTAGGAAGATTTTCTTTAAGCTTGCACACGTAATTAGCCTGTCCGACAGTGGAATCCCAGCCTCGGATGAGGATATTCTCGAAACTAAATTGTATGGAGAAGCAATTTCCCATGATTCTGGTAAATACTTGGGGATTTCAAAATCAAACTAGATTTCCTGCTTAGAGGATCTGGAAGTTGATGATTGAGTAAAAGAAAACAAGTAAAATTGAACACAAGAAAGAAATCTAAAGATTGGGTTTTGTTTTGAAGGGGAAACAAAAAACAAGAAAGAAAAAATCAAAGTTGCTCAAAGAAATTGGTGCAAAATAAAGGATGCGTTTTTGGTTTCAGTTTAGAAGGAAAGTAGCGAGTAGGCAAAGGATTTGTGATATGAGATTACTGCAGAATGTAGAGAAAACGCTTCAACTTACAATAAATAAGGGATCCAAAGTATGGGTTTTTGTTTTTTTTTTTCTTTTTCAATTGTGCCATAGTGGGTTGGTGAGAAAAGAGGAATCTTCCTATGCATGTAGTTGGTCTGTGAATGGCCCCATGACAGACATGACATGACATGAAGACAACTCAGAAAAGTCATGCAGACTTGATAAGAACCAATACAAAGTACAAACAAGAGCTGTTTGATTGAGAAGAAAACAAGAAACCGCTCTGACACCAACACTTTCCTTGAAGTTAAGGGATTTGATGTCTTTGAAGCCTTGTTTCAAGTTCAATTATTTGCAAGATTTTTCCACTACATTTACATTTCTTTGAAGCCCTTCAACAATGATGGGCATTTTTCTATTTTCAATAATGAAAAAAGGAATCTTTCTCTGCAACTAGTTGTTATTAATTGGTTTGAGCATGGCCCATCCGTTTATTTTGCAATTACTACAACACTGTTCTCTTTTTTTCTTCTTATAGTAGGTAGGGTAGCCTACCCTATACTAAATAACCTTCTTTGAGTTTGAGACATGTAACAATGCACTTCATGGAAGAATCCAACGAACCTAAAATTCTTCCAGCCATTTGGAAGGTACATGAAGTGAAATGTTAGTTACTAGTTACTACATCATGCATCATTCTTTAGTGAAAAGTGATATGTTAAGCAAGAGCAAGTGCTGAATAACCCGAAACGATGAAAACATGGCCATTCTATTCATCATCATTAAGGCTAAAACTTTTCAAAAAGTCCACCACCTTAGAAACCAAGTAGCAGGCTTATTAAACTTAGAATATCTTGAATCACATGTAATATCTTGAATGAAATAAACAGCCACAGATTAAGTACAGGCGCAAACTATATCTAAGAGAGAAAAATAACCTTTCTTTATATCAAGTGGTCTGAAAGAGAGTTAATTTTTTGCTCTCTGCTGATAATGGTGGTGCCGGGGAGTTTTGGGGTTTACATTTTGTCTGTGATGAGGGACGTAGGGGGGAAATAATGTTTTTGTTCTGCTAAATTAAGGGTCCAACGTTTCCTAATATGTCTAAATGGAGCCCTTATTTGAATACATTTTCAAAAGGTTAGGCCCTAATTTGAGCAGATTAAAAAAATATTAAACCCTTATTCGATCCTTTTAAAAGGTTGGACCTTTATTCGAACATACACAAAAACATGAAACTCTTATCTTTGTAAAGTTAGACTCTTAGTTAAGTAATCTCTAAAAGATTAGGTCCTTATTTAAGTATTTAACCAAGTTCTAACAAATTAAATGATAAGAGTCCACGGAGAGGCATACAAAATAGTTTTGGGTAAACTACGCGTTTAGTACTTAACCTATTAATTTTGGCCCATTATTATTCTTAAACTTTTTTCAAAATTATGTTTAATGTTTAGTTTTTATTTTATTTTAATACCCACCGTTAAAAACTTAATGTGCTTAGTTCCTAAATTATCAGTTTTAATACATTTTAATATCTAAACTTTTATTTTTTTAAACTTAACGTTAAATTTTTAATGGTTACTAAAATAAAATAAAATCTAAATGTTAGGTATAATTTTAAACAGAATTAAAAATTTAGATACTAAAACAGATTAAATCAGATAATTTAGTACTGAACAACCTAATGTACCCAATCTGTTTTGGTATAAATGGTAGCCAAAAGTCTACGTAGAGCCATACAAAGTCTCTTATGAAACACTTTTTATCAACAAAAAAACCTGAATCTTTTAGCTGCTGGTTTTTTTTTCAGTGGCGGTCCCTCTTTCCAATGGTTTCACACGGTTAACCATCTCGCCTCCTGCCCGGTTCAGGAACCGGTCCACCGTCTTCGCCACTTTAGCCTCTTCCCGGCTTGATTCTGTGAACTGGGTCGAAGCCACTTCCAGCTTCTTCGACTAAGACACCAGGCCCATCATGTTGTTCGAAGGTATCAAAGCTCTCATTTTTAATTATAACCAGACATGTTCACTTCAAAATTTCTCATTTCTGTTTTGTTTTGTTCCAACAGGAGTTTGCAACTTATGTAATGGAGGCGTCAGGTTTGTTTGTGATGTTGATCGGAAAAGGTCGGCCAAATGAAAAATTTCTTGTTTAAACCCCAATATGTTTCAGCTATCAGTTCGTTCATGCATTGTAATTATTGATTCTAGTCGTAGTTATTCGATGTATTGATTGTAATTTGTTAATAGGAGAATTAAGGTTCCATGATGATAGGAGAAAAGATAGAAAGTTTAGGTACTAAAACATCTAATTTTTCACCTTTTGATGTTAATAGGAGAAAAAAGTTCGATGTTAATAGGAGAAAAGATGAAAGTTCAGGTATTAAAAAGACCAAAGTTAATATTTTAGATACTAAATGTATTAAGTTTTTAACAGCGGGTACTGAAATTGTAATTTGGTTTTGACTATAATCGTGATCTATGTTAGATGTTTTTTCACCTTTTCGATGTTAATATGAGAATAAGGTTCGAAGCACTTCAAAGTGAAGCAGGGAAGAAGCTACTGAGATCTGGAAGAGTTCCTGATGATATTTCCAGTGTTGTTCTTGTTGAAAAAGATAGGTAAAATGATTCATGTCATAAACCGCAACTGGTGAGGTACTATCCCGGAATCGTATTGTATCGGTATCGTAAGCACAATATCGGTGTATCCTTTTTATCGTCCGCTTAATCTCGAGGTTTATGGACAACCGGAAAGGATAATAGCGGCTTATGGACATGTAGACATGTAGTAGTACCTCGCTGTTCATTAAGTTGTTAAGCTTTCCGACTCAATTTGGTTTACCGTCTTTAATCATTAAATTTGTTGATGGAATTTCAGATCATATATTAAATCAGAAGCGGTGTTGAAGATCATGGAATACCTGGAATTGCCTTTCCCTCAGCTTGCATTCTTCATGCAATTCATACCCTTGTAAGTCATCCCTTTCGGCTTCTCAATGGTGATATCTGTCATCATTTCTTTGTTTTCGATTTGCACCGATTGCAGATTCGTAAGGGACTTCATGTATGACAACGTCGCAAACAACCGGTATGCGATTTTTGGGTATTCGGATTCGTGCTAGATATGAAGCAATATAATGAATAGTAAGTCATATATCACACAAAGATGGAGGGCATCATGATAAGCCCTGCTGTATATGAGTCCTGATGTTTTATCCTGTTTCTTGACTGTTTATGTTGTAAATTATGAAAGGTTTCTCTATGAATACGATACATATATTAAGCATCTATCGTGTTTAAATGTGTCGGTGTCATGTTTATTACATTGTTTCATCCTGCTGTATATGAGTCCTGATGTTTAAACATATAATAATCCTATAGCGATCCAGAGTTCTAACTCTGCCTCGTAAAATCGTGTCGAAATGTACCTAAAACTCGATTTTCACTGCACATAATCATACATGGAATGATCTCCTAATGCATCATGCAAGGTATGTTTTAATAGTTTTGCCCGCAAGTAGCCTCTCTAAGCCAACTGCAAATCTGCAAAAAAAAGCAGAGAGTAAGCTGAAAGTCGGGTTAGTTCCGGTTTTAAAATCTTCGGCAGATCAAAAAATTTACCCAATAATCACATGAACTAAAGTGAAAACGAATAACACATATTGGTACAATCTGTGCTTTGGGACTTTATGTTTTATCCGAAATCTCTCTGGAATGTGTCTCGGGCTTATGTACCCGAACTGAGGTCGTATTAGAAGGACAAATCCAGCTAGTAGTTCGGAGATGAACCCTTCTATATGAGCTGAGTTACCGACTTGAGGTAGAAATCCGACGGTTAGGTTCAGGTAAATAACCACCTACTCGAGCAAGTACGGCTATGGCTTTCAAAAGCGGAAACTATAATAACAGATGCGGAAAATTTGATTGCAGATGCCCCTCGACATATAAATAACTTGTGCCTCGGCGGCTGCGTTTCCAAGAATTGCCTGTCTACCTACCAAGTTTGGGAAAAAGGTGGCCAAAATGCATCAAGACATAAAGGATCACATGAGTAAAGGAGTTTTCAAGGGTAGCGGAGACTCAGCCCGCAGCTTCAGTGGTATTAAAACCTGACGAGAAGACTGTTACTCTTGAATCCACACCCGACAAGGTATGGAGCTGCATCATGGATGAAGATGTGGGGATCATTGGCCTATACGGTATCGGAGTGGTTGGAAAGACAATACTCTTGACCAAAATCACCAACAAGTTCAGCACCTTACCACAGGGTTTCTACATTGTAATTTGGGCTATGGTGTCTAAAGATTACAATGTTGAAAGGATTCAAGATAAGATTGGTGGACAAATTGGTTTTTCGGATGAATCATGGAAGAATAAAAAATGTTGAGCAGAAAGCTGAGGATATATATGGGGTGTTGCGCAACAAAAACTCAATGTATTATTGGATGATTTATGGGAGATGGTGGATTTGAACAAAGTTGGGATTCCAAAACCAAGCCAAGTAAATGGTTGCAAACTTACTTTCACTACTCGGTCGTCGGAGGTTTGTGGTGTAAATGGAAGCTCGAAAGAAAATTAAAGTGGAGTGTCTGAAACCGGAAGAGGCTTGGGAATTATTTCAGAACAAAGTTGGAGATGAAACCTTTAACAGCCATCCAAATATTCCAAATCTAGCTGAACAAGTAGCCAAAGAGTGGAGTGGACTACCTCTTGCACTGATTACGATCGGTCGGCTTGCAAGACAACACCTGGGGAATGGAAATATGCAATTGAAAAGTTGAAGCGATTGATGTTACCCAAAATGGAAAATGAGGTATTTCCGCTTTTAAAATTCAGTTACGATAATCTAGCTCCCACAATGAAATGTTGCCTGCTATATCGTTGTCTGTATCCCGAAGATTATCCTATTCCTAAAAAGGCATTAGTGGGGTATTGGTTTTTTGAAGGGTTGTTGAATGAATTCAATAAAATTAGTGAATCCCAAATGCAAAGAGGCCACATTGTCAACTCTCTTCTCAGTGTATGCATATTAAAAAGAACTAATGAATCACCTGAGGTAGAAGAATTTGTGAAGATGCATGATGCCATCCGTTACATGTGTTTGTGGTAGCATGCGAGCTTGAAGAGAATCAAGAATATCTTGATGATGACTTTGGTGGTAGGTTAATTTATGGCACGTTTTAACTTAAAATATTACATGTTTTACTCTAAAATTTTACATCATTGATAATAATTTCAGTTACAAACAAAAATATCTTGATTGTAACTTTTTAAGGTACAATTAGAATAATAATAAATTTACATAATTTATTAAAGAAAAATTAACATTTTCGAATTCAACCTAAAATATTATCCAAATTATTATAAAAAGTTACGCGTTATAAATTTTTATTATCAAATCAAAACCCCAACTTCAAGGGAAGTGTTAGAGCGGTTTACTGTTTTCTTCTCAATCAAACAGCTCCTGTTTGTATTGGTTCTCATCAGGTCTGCATGATTTTTCTAAGTCATGGGGCCATGCACAGTCCAACTAGTTGCGTAGGAAGATTCCTCTTTTCTCACCAATCCACTGTAGCACAATTGAAAAAGGGCAAAAAGAGAACAAAAATCCGTAATTTGGATTCCTTAATTATTTTTTGTTGAAGGGTTTGCTCTGCAGTCTGCAGTAATCTTATACCACAAATCCTTTCCCTACTCAGTACTTTCTTTCCAAAATGAAACCAAAAACGCATCCTTTATTTTGCACCAATTCCTTTGTGCAACTTTGATTTCTTCTATATATATTTTTCAGTTTCATTTGCTTTCTTCCACTCACCAAAAAAAAAGGTAAACTACGTATTGAAAATCATTACCTTTTTGTTCAATATTGGTGGCGCATTTAAAAAAAAAGGTAAACTAAGTATTCAGTATTTAAACTATAAGCTTTAGTCTATTTTAGTATCTAAACTTTCAATTTTTTCAAAATCATACCTAATGTTTAGTTTTCATTTCATTTTAGTACCTCACCATTTAAAACTTAACGCGTTTAGTACCTAAACTATCAGTTTTGATCTATTTTAGTACTAAAACTTTTAATTTTTTCAAATTTAATGTTAAATTTTGAACGGGTATACTAAAATGAAATAAAAACTAAACTTTAGGTATGATTTTAAAAGATTAAAAGTTTAGATAGTAAAACAAACCAAAATTGATAGTTTAAGTACTAAACGCGAAATTTACCCAAAAATATTATCGGCTCAAATTTATAGCAAGGCATATACGCATCGTCGCTATTAATATGCATATTCGCTACTATTTCACCAAGTTTCCTTCATTAACATTCGCTAATAATATACATATTAGGATATGGTTGTGATGTCAGGATCGAAAAAGTAAAGTGCGAAGACTTTACTTTCTCTTAGTTTTCTTTGCTATCATGTCATGTCGGTAAAAGAAATGCATGGCCATGCACAAGCCAATCACTAACGAATGAGTTGCAATTTTTAAAGAAAGATTCCTCTGTTCTTATCAATCCACTACTAAAGAACAATCGAGAAAAGACAAATACCCATTATTCTTATTCCATATTTGCTGTTAGTTGAAGGGTTTTCTCTGCATTTTGCAGTAATTTCATAGCACAAATCCTTTGCCTACTCAGTGCTCATCTTCCAAACCAAAACCAAAAGCTCAGCCTTTATTTTGGAGCAATTTCTTTGTGAAGCTTTGATTTCTCTGCATATTTGAAGGGTTCTCTCTGCATATTTGAAGGGTTCTCTCTGCATTTTAGTAATAAATGATGAATAGTGTGTATATATATGGAGCAAATGAGCAATTCATTCATTCATAAAAGTAAGACAATGTAATTATTTAAAATATTAATAAAATAATACAAAATAAAAAAATAAAAGTTACAAACAAATATAATTATTTGTGGCAAAGATTAGACAACATAATAATAAAAACATGAAAACACACTTGATCCAGTTTGTCAAATTCCATTTAATTTGATAAGGAGTCTTTAAAGAAAAATCAATTCAAAGTTCCTTATTTTTTGCATTTAGGTTTTAAAATCTTTTAATACTAATTAAAAAATGGGTAAAGTATATAAATGATCATCTGATTATAAGATATTGCTTTGTTGAGTTCTTTGACTATTAAAAGTTACAAAACAGCCTCTCGATTATAGGGAGTTGTTTTGTTGAGTCTTCAACTATTAAAAGTTACAAAATAGTCACCCGACTACGCATTATGTTTTAAACTCGTCATTTTCCATTAAAAGATTAATGGCAGTCTGAGTTAGACGTTAACCTACTAACTGAGATATGATAAAAAAATTGATTTCTTAATCTCAAATGAATATGATATCTCAGCCAATATGTTAATGTCTTGCTCGAATAACTATTAATTTTTTAACGAAAAATGACGAGTTTGGGACATAATGAATAGCTATATGACCATTTTGTAACTTTTAATATTTGAAGGTCTCAAAAAAGTAACTCTCCATAATAAAATGATCATTTTATAATTTTTAATAGTCGATTAACTTAACAAAACAGTAAATTTACTAATTACTTGAATTGGGTACTAAAATAAGTTAAAAATATTGTCTCAAGCATTTTTTTAATGAAAAATCATCGGCTTTTTTGTTCCATCAATATTGGCGGCGCATTTTAAAAAAAGGGGGTAAATTATGTATTATGTACTTAAGTTATAAGTTTTAGTCTGTTTTGGTATCTAAACTTTTAATTATTTTAAATCATACTTAACGTTTAGTTTTAATTCCATTTTAGTACCTCGTCATTAAAAATTTAACACGTTTAATACCTAAACTATTAGTTTTGATATATTTTAGTACCTAAACTTTTATTTTTTTTCAAAACTTAACGTTAAATTTTAAACGGGGTACTAAAATTTTTAACGACATGATACTAAAATAAAAAAAAACTAAACTTTAAGTATGATTTAAAAAGAATTGAAAGTTTAGATACTAAAACAAACTAAAATTGATAGTTTAAGAATTAAACACGTCATCGCTAATAATATACATATTCGCCACTATTTCACCATTTTTTTTTTCTTTATTAACATTCTCTAATAAAATACATATTCGGATATGCTTATAGATGCGGCAAAGCTAATAACAGTTTTGCTACTTAAGAATACTTGAGTTGAATTCGGTTTGGAAGGTGTTAGGGATAGATTAAGAGAGGTGTTGGAGTGCGAGGATCTCTCGAAAATTTTAAATTTTCATATTGATGAACTAATTTCATTTCCTCCAAATTATTAAATTAACTTCCTAAATGTTTGTAGATCTCACACAAAATTACGCATCTATCCCTATTTTTTACACCCAATTAAGTTCCTATGTTTTTAAATTTTATATATTCATCCTTGTAGAGAGGCACTGTAATTGCTACATGTAGAGAGGGGAGTCG